TTCTCTCAATTTGTCAAAGTCATTCTCCATCCAGCTTTGTTCCATTGCTGGTGATGAGCTGCGTTCCTTTGGAGGGGGACATTCGCTCTGATTTTTTGAATTTTCAGCTTTTCTGCACTGCTTTTTCCCCATCTTTGTGGTTTTATCTGCCCTTGGTCTTTGATGATGGTGACATACTGATGGGATTTTGGTGTGGATGTCCTTTCTGTTTGTTAGTTTTCCTTCTAACAGTCAGGACCCTCAGCTGCAGATCTGTTGGAGTTTGCCTGAGGCCCACTCCAGACCCTGTTTGCCTGGGTATCAGCAGCGGAGACTGCAGAAGATAGAATATTGCTGAATAGTGAGTGTTACTGTCCGATTCTTGCTCTGTAAGGTTCGTCTTAGGGGTGTACCCAGCAGTGTGAGGTGTGAGGTGTTGGTCTGCACCTAGTGGGGGATATCTCCCAGTTAGGCTACTCAGGGGTCAGGGACCCACTTGAGCAGGCAGTCTGTCTGTTCTCAGATCTCAACCTCCGTGCTGGGAGAACCACTGCTCTCTTCAAAGCTGTCAGACAGGGACTTTTACCTCTGCAGAGGTTTCTGCTGCTTTTTGTTTAGCTATGCCTTGTCCCCAGAGGTGGAGTCTACAGAGGCAGGCAGGCAGGCCTCCTTGAGCTGTTGTGGGCTCCACCCAATTCGAACTTCCCCACGGCTTTGTTTACCTACTTAAGCCTCAGCAATGGCAGGCACTCCTCCCCCAGACTTGCTGCCACCTTGCAGTTAGATCTCCGACTGCTCTGCTAGCAATGAGGGAGGCTCCATGGGCATGGGACCCTCCGGGCCAGGTGTGGGATATAATCTCCTGGTGTGCCGTTTGCTAAGACCCTTGATAAAGCTCAGTATTAGGGTAGGAGTTACCCAATTTTCCAGGTGTTGTGTGTCTCAATTTCCCTTGGCTAGGAAAAGGAATTCCCTTCCTCCTTGTGCTTCCTAGGTGAGGCAATGCCTCACCCTGCTTCAGCTCTCGCTGGTCGGGCTGCACCCGTGGACCAGCATCGACTGTCTGACACGCCCCAGTGAGATGAACCCGGTACCTCAGTTGAAAATGCAGAAATCACCTGTCTTCTGTGTCACTCACGCTGGGAGCTGTAGGCTGGAGCTATTCCTATTCAGCCATCTTGTGCGCCCCCCTCCCCACACTTGATCTACTCTTAAACCTTAGTAACACCATCAACACACTAGCTTATTTGTACCTACCAAATTTAAAGGATTTTAGGAAAATCTATGCAAGTAAAATTGCAACAAGTAACATCTCTCAGATACTTCAGATGACAGTTTAAGTTGGGGCAAATTTTTTCAAAGACAATTTAGCTACACATTTCAAGGGCTTAAAAATAGCTCATAACCTTTAACCTAATAAATCCCTCTGGGAGTCTATCCTAAGGTAATAAGTAAATGCAGCAAAGATTTATGCATGAGGCTTTCACCATAGTTTTATTTATGATAACAAAAAAATTAAAATAACCTGAATATTCATCAATAGGGGATTGAGTAAATAAATATAGCATATCCATAGGAATAATTTTAATAACATAGAGAAATCACAATATAAAACTAAGTGAGGCCTAAGCTATAAGTCTGTGTATGTAATATGTGCCTATTTGTTTAATTTATATATTCATAGAAAATACCAGTTATTTGTACACTAAATATTCTTTAAATTTTTGCAATTAAAAAAAAGATCTTTAACTTTAAAACATGTATTCTCAACAGGAACAATATAGCCTCCAATAGGCAAAAACTGGTTCAGGGTGAAGGCAAAAAAAATTCTTAGTTATGACAATGGTTTGTAGTTCTCCAAAGGGCCGTAGTAGATAAACAGATATACAGTATGTAGGATTCATATTTTGGGGGATGGGTGGTAGCACTTAGCAAAAACATGTCTAAAGAGTATTTTTAAAATCTTGAGGGGAAATTGTTAAAACAAAAAAAAAACAAAAGATATCAGAAAAAAGCAAAATCAAAAATATTAGCAGTGCTCATATCTACGTTGTGACATTATAGGTAACTTTTTATATCTTTATATATTATTTAGTATTATCTAAATTTTATACTATGAAAAAGTACTATATTCATAATAAGGAAAAGCAGAAATTTAAATTTAAAATGAAAAACTAAATAATCAAAATTAATTTAATTAAAAAATTTGTATTATGCTTTAAGTTCTGAGATACATGTGCAGAACATGCAGGTTTGATACATAAGTATACACGGGCCATGGTGGTTTGCTGCACCCATCAACCCATCATCTACATTAAGTATTTCTCCTAGTGGTATCCCTCCCCTAGTCCTCCACCCCGCAACAGGCCCCAGTGTGTGATGTTCCCCTCCCTGTGTCCATGTGTTCTCACAGTTCAACTCCCACTTATGAGTGAGGACATATGGTGTTTGATTTTCTGTTCCTGTGTTAGTTTGCTGAGAATGAAGGTTTCCAGCTTCATCCACATCCCTGCAAAGGACATGAACTCATCCTTTTTCATGGCTGCATAGTATTCCATGGTGTATATGTGCCACATTTTCTTTATCCAGTCTATCATTGATGGGCATTTGGTTTGGTTCCAAGTCTTTGCTATTGTGAATAGTGCTGCAATAAACATACATGTACATGTGTCTTTATAGCAGAATGATTTCTAATCCTTTGGGTATATACTCAGTAATGAGATTGCTGGGTCAAATGATATTTCTGGTTCTAGATCCTGGAGGAATCACCACACTGTCTTCCGCAATGGTTGAACTAATTTACACTCCCACCGACAGTGTAAAAGCGTTCCTATTTCTCCATATCCTCTCCAGCATCTGTTGCTTCCTGACTTTTTAATGAGAACCTACCAAATGTAAGAATGAAAAGAGAAATCAATGGCTCATGCACTGGCCTTTTTCTGTGTTGCAGGGATATTACTTTCACACTGAAAATCCCTTCAAGGACTGGCCTGGAGCATTTGAGGAAGGCTTAAAAAGGCTGAAGGAAGGGGACCTGCCAGTCACCATCCTGTTCATGGAAGCAGCAATTCTTCAGGACCCTGGAGATGCAGAGGTGTCCTTCTGCCTTCATTCTGCCAGTCTCAGAAAGGGCATGTGCTAATGAGGGACAGATAACACAGAACTCTGCTGGGTCGCCTTTTCATCAAGTAAAGGTTCCCAGAGGAGTTAACCTAGCTTAGTCTACTTGTTTGAAAGTTACATATAGGTACCTGTTTTCTAACCAAATTTCTAATCGGCAGTGTTTACAGTGCCTATAAATAAAGGTTGGGGACAGGAAAAGAAAAATCAAAATTACCAACCTGGAGGCTTATCAGTAGTTTTCTGTTTTTGAGACGGAGTCTTGCTCTGTCAACCAGGCTGGAGTGAAATGGCACAATCTCGGCTCACTGCAACCTCCACCTCCCAGGTTCAAGAGATTCTCCTGCCTCAGCATCCCAAGTAGCTGAGATTACAGGTGCCTGTCACCATGCCCAGCTAATTTTTGTATTTCTAGTAGAGGTGGAGTCTCATCATGTTGGTCAGGCTGGTCTCGAACTCCTGACCTCAGGTGATCCACCGGCCTTGGCCTCCCAAAGTGCTGGGATTACAGGCATGAGCCACCATGTCCAGCACTAGTTTTGAAGGGACAGTGTATAGTGATGTCTGGCTCTTGTGTCACACTGTACATCACCCTTGGTTTACTCACTCCACATTTATTGAACACATACTATGTCCCAAAAATTATACCAGGTCTTGGCTTAAAATATGGAAAAGCTGGGAAAACATATCAGGTGGAAAACATGTTTATGGTGTATCTGGGAAGACAAGTAAAAAAAAATCAAAGTAGTGAAATAAATGCAACGTCAGAGTGTGCAAGGATGCTGGGAGACTAGAAAGCATCCAACCTTTCTGCACAAGTAGAGCCAGGGTGGGTGCAGAAATTAAAGGCAATAGGAGAGTCAAGTTTCTGTTACAAGGGAGTGCTATGTGGATAGGCAGAAGGGCATGAAGCATCATGTTAAGTGGAAGACGGGAGGAGAGAATGGTAAAGGGAAGGCAAGAAGAGTTAAGCAATAATTTGAAATTCATCTGAAAGTCATGGGAAACCACTAGGGGCCTGTACTCCGAAGAGGCATACCAACAGATTGCATGTTAGAAAAACCCATTTCTCAGAGATGAGAAGAGTGATTAGAGACAGAGGCTGGGAGACCACCAAAAAGCTTCTGCAGTACTAATCCCCTAGATTTCTAAACCTGTGAAGGCCTATCATAAGGTAGTGTCAGTATAATGGTTTCTTCTTTCATTTGTGAGTAATTTTCAGGAATCATCATATAAGGAATATTCCCAAGGGAATCTGCAGAAATTTTAGAGACAGATATATATATACTGGTGCTGAGAATACAATGTAGAATAGAGGTTAGGCATCTAGGCTGTGCTATCCCAACTGCATAGGTTCAGATCCCTGTTCTACCTGTTAGCCATGGGACCTGGGGCAAATCATTTAAACCCTCTAAGTTTCAGTTTCCTCATCTATAACGTGGAAATCCTAACAGTAACTATCTCATTGGGTGTTGCGAGGATTAAATTAGTCCAAATCCTAACAGTAACTATCTCCTTGGGTGTTGGGAGGATTAAATTAGTCCACACAAATAAAGCGCTCAGCTCAGTGCCTGGCACATCAATATTTAGCCTTCATTTTTATTATTGGTTGTACTTTATGTAAGAAGAATGAGTAAACGGATCACTAGTTAAATCTTGTAATATCGTGTTGGTCAAAAGGCTTCCAGTGAAATGGGATTGAACTGAAAGCTGAAATTCTGAACCAAAATATTAGAATTTTTAAAAGATAGGCCGAGTGTGGTGCCTCATGCCTGTAATCCTAGCACTTTGGGAAGCCGAGGTGGGCGGATCACTTCAGGCCAGGAGTTCAAGACCAGCTTGGCCAACGTGGCGAAACCCTGTCTCTACTAAAAATACAAAAAAAAAAAAATCAGCTGGGTGGGATGGCTCATGCCTGTAATCCCAGCTACTCGGGAGGCTGAGGTGGGAGAATCACTTGAACCAGCAGGCGGAGGTTGCAGTGAGCCAAGATTGTGCCACTGCACTCCAGCCTCAGTGACAGAGCAAGACTCTGTCTCAAAAATAAAATAAAATAAAATAAAATAAAATAAAATATATATGCCCATTGTAGAAGAGGAAATTATCACACTAATATGAAACTATACCACCCCCTAAAAATAATAATGTCATCTTACGTTTGTAAATGCTATGTATTTTACAAGGTGTTTTCAAATATATTACATTATTTGACACAACAGCCCTGGAAGATTTTTTTAAGGACATATTATGATCTCAGATTCATAAATGAGAAAATGAGGGCCTTTGGTAACTAACAAATCCCAGACAAGGACCCAGGGCTTCTGAATCTATGGAGACCTCAAAGTTAAGTTAATAACACTACAGACAGTGAAAATGACACCATGGCCAAAGGCTAGAAAAACACCCCCAGAGAAAGACTATTTCATCAGTCTTTTCTTAAGAAGCATTCTAAGATACATGGAAGGTGAAATCAAAATAGAGGTTGCTGTCTGTATGTTTAAGAGATTTAAAAGAATCAAGGCTATTTGGAGGGGGAATAATCGGTATTTTGATGAGTTCATAAGGTGTATGTAATAATAACCCATGAGAGGAAAAGCCTGTACCATTCAAATGGCACTTTAAGATAACTGTGCTTTCCTAGAGTTTTGTTTTAAAATGGTATTCTCTAAAATAATGTTTGAGGAGTGTGTAAAAGTGTTTGGGGAGTGTGAAATTTGAAGACAATGTGTGTAATGAGAGATTTCTGCTTGTATTACTCTTGTAACAGTGTGAGAGTTATTGTTCTTATGAGTATATAGAGAAAAATTTGCTATGTTAAAAACTTTGATTCTAGATATAAAAACATAAGCTATCTGCTTGAAGATGTTCTTCATGTTATTTACAATAGCAAACAATTGCAACCAACTTAAAGTGATAAGGGAATTATTGAGTAAATAATGGAATAAATAATGGAATATCCATTCAACAAAATTCAAATTAAAAATTATGAGGATTTTATGAGGATTTTGTAAAAACATGAAAAAGGGCTTTATACAATGGAATGTATAAATGTAGACTATCAAATTATGTCTACATTATGATTGTGTTTATATGTGTTTTGTGCATTTTCGCAGTGATTACATTAGAGGAATGAACACATCATAAGAGATTTTGTTTTGCTTTTCCTAGTTCCTAAATCGCCTGTGAATTCTTCTAGTAACTGACTTTCATTCATATAAGCTAAGTTAATATTGTACATCTTGAGATTCCATATTGTAAACTTCATTTAGCTACATTTCTAGGTTATTTTTCCACCCCTTTCCCTCAAAATTGTATAATTTTATATATTTATCTTTTGGTTTTAAGATACCTAATATAATGAAATCTCAGAAATTCAGAGGTTTCCATCGCACTGAGTTATAGGAAAGGATAAATACTGAACAAGTTTGGAAATAATAACAGAGGATCTTGACCCAGATGTCACAAGAGAGTTCAAATGAAGAAATGCATATGTTTTTCCCTTTCATACAGCAGTCACATCTGAGACAGGTTGCTCTGCATAGGAGATCCATCACAGGTCAACAAGCACATGTCATGAAGCACATGAGTAATTCTGCTTCATCTTGCAATGTTAACATCAGTTGTCTTTCGTAGGCATGGCAGTTCCTCGGGATAACCCAGGCAGAGAATGAAAATGAACAAGCAGCTATTGTCGCCCTCCAGAGGTAAACGAAGCTAAGTGCAAAATCATGGGCCTGGTGGACACTTGTTAATGAACTTCCTGTTTCAGATTTGTCTTTTGATCTTTACTGAAGTACAGTGTAAAGAATTTGCAAAGGATAAGTGCTGAGATACCGCATATCACTCACACTTAGCTCTGAAAAACAACTTATAATGAAGTGATGTTCCTAACAATGTCTTGCTATCTACAAATCAATGGACATTCACTGGCACCAGAAAAAGCCTCTGTTAAACCCACTCGTAAAGTAGACTCATTGAATAAATAGCTCCTTTTAACGTTTTAACCTTCTGAAACATCTGAAAATATTCTTAAAAAAAAAATAAGTGGAGTACTGACTAATGGTCTGGATGACATTGGGGCAGGAGGGATGGTAACAGTGGGTGTGTTTAATATTACACCCTACTTAATTAGAGTTCCTATTTAAATCCTGGAAAAGTAGCCTCTACCAAATAGACTTCCACTTTCCCTACCTTTTCTTGTAAGTGCCTTTAATATAGTGCTATAGGAAGAGAATATATATGTATGTGCATGTATACATATATATGCACACATATATATATTCCATCTGTTATATGTATGGTATTTATATAAATGTATACATACATAATGTATGTGTATAAATCCTATAGCTTTGGAATTTCAGATTGTAAGAATTCTAGACTGTTGAAATTCTAGGGCTTTACAATCTTGGAATCCTAGATTTCAAGATTCTGTTGGTATCTGATGAAGTAATGGTGCCTGGGGTATGGCCCTGCTGTCAGAGCCTTTTCCTACAGATGAGAGAATTGGGGATCAGGAAAGGTCAAGGTCACACAGAGAGTATGTAACAGAGACAGAACTTAAACCCTCATCACCTGACTCCAAATCTGGAGCTCTGAGTCAGTGGTTCTTAACCCTATATACACATGCACATTAGAATCGTTTGGAGGGGAAAATTGATGCCCAAGCACAGTCCAGAGATGATCATTTAATTGATCAGGGCTGGGAACCAAGCAGCAATAGTTTTAAAACTCCCTGGCATTTGTAATGTGCATCTAGAGTTAAGAATCTCTCTACCCAGTGCTGATAAGCTTCTGGGAGATTAGGCCCACCACAGAGTGGTATTAGGTACTGCCTAGGGCTTGCTCCTCAAAGTCTTATTCAGAGACCTCATCATCACCTGAGAACTTGTCAAACCTGCACAATCCCAGGCCCACCCCAGTAGGCCTACTGGATCAGAGTGCAGATTTTATAAAACCCCCCCAGATGATTCACATGCACTTCAGTTTGAAAATCCCTTGCTAGAGGCCAGTGGAATGAGAGGGAGTAGCTTTAGCCTGTGTCTCCTGTAAACCCACATCAGTAGTTCTGAAAACACAGGGATTTCCCTCTCCTTTGCAAAAGACGGTACAATCTTTCATATCTAGATGTCTACATTCAATTCAGTTCTCTTTGGGGATAATAGATATTTAATATATTGGTAGTAGAGGCCACGTGTGGTGGCTTACACCTGTCATCCCAGCACTTTGGGAGGCGAGGCAGGTGGGTCACTTGAGGTCAGGAGTTTGAGACCAGACTGGCCAACACGGAAACCCTGTCTCTACTAAAAATACAAAATTAGCCGGGTGTGGTGGGCATCGGTGACCCCAGCTATTCGGGAGGCTGAGGCAGGAGAATTGCTTGAGTCCAGGTGGCAGAGGTTGCAGTGAGCCGAGATCACACTCCAGCTTCAGTGACAGAGTGAGACTCTATCTAAGGAAAAAAAAAAAAAAGCAGCATTAAAATAATGATATCCCCTATTTCTCATTAGATCTCATTAGATTAAGTGCAGGCATAAGCCACATAGTTTTAAAGCTACTTATTAAAATTACCAAACCTAGCAATCATTAGGGTAAGTTTTAACTTTCTTAAAAATATGCTGAGGTCTCCATTTTTATGTAGATAAATATGGTGCCTTCCAGGACTTGACATAAGTTTACCAATGCTTTTGCAGTATTTAGTTAATAAAGACCCTCCACATTTTCTGAAGAACTGTTGGAGTGTGGCTCCAAAAAAAAATTCTGAAATTGGCTTCTTTTTTTCTTTCAGGTGCTTAGAATTACAGCCCAACAACTTAAAAGCTTTGATGGCCTTGGCTGTGAGTTATACTAACACTGGCCATCAGCAGGATGCCTGCGAAGCTCTGAAGAATTGGATTAAGCAAAATCCAAAGTACAAATACCTTGTGAAAAGCAAGAAGGGATCTCCAGGCCTCACCCGGCGGATGTCTAAGTCCCCAGTTGACAGGTATCCTTCTCGGTATATTACAGCTGGCAGTATACACCCATATGCACAATGAATCACCTAAAGGGCAACAGTGAGCCTCACAGCCCTGACACCACCCACTCCAGAATGGTTTGCAGGACAGTATTCTGCTGGAGGAGCATCACTCATTAGAAAGATTAATGGTTAGACCAGGGCCAGCCTTCGGGCACATGATCTACATTGTGGGCACTCACAGACATTTATGTGAGTGCCACATTTTAAAGTCAAATGCTTTGGACACATAATTCACCCAAGGTGAAGTATAATAAATACAAATGCTCCAAGTTTTATCCAGCCTGAGAATTAGGAATGGGGAAAATGAAAGTCTGGTCTTCTAGAAATTTTGTTTTCTATCAGCAATAAATCCTTTCTATCAGCAATAAATCCTTTCTCATTGAGCCCTTGGGAAACTTAGCTGTGGGGTTTTCCACACTGGCACTCATAGAGTCAACAGAACTCTCCTCGTGAAGACCTTACTTAGCACAGTCTGTATCTGTGTACAACAAAATAGTTCATGAAAATCAACCATATTTTGAAACATTCAGCATTCATAGTCCTCTCATTAAGTTAAGGTATTTTAAGCAAAATTTTCCAGTCTGTAACGAAGAGACTTCTTGAAATAGAGTCCAGAGATTTAACAGTATATCATTAATGTTCTGACTATTTGGATTACAAATCTAATTTCTTTTTCTCTTGTAGCTCTGTTCTGGAAGGAGTGAAGGAATTATATCTGGAAGCTGCCCACCAAAATGGAGATATGATCGACCCAGACCTACAGACAGGTCTAGGGGTTCTGTTCCACCTGAGTGGAGAATTTAATAGAGCAATAGATGCATTTAACGCTGCCTTAACTGTTCGGCCAGAGGTAAGACAGCACAGCACAGCAAGAAACCACAACCTTCTCTGTAACAAACACGTTTTCACAGGCTACACCGTCTACATTTCTTCTACACTTTCTTTCCCTGACTCCAATGGTTTAAAGTGATGGTACTAATAATGTGCTACCGTGGCTATTAATATTGAAACACCTAAAATAGAAACACTAATTACGTGACAACATCAAATGGTAGCTGCTCCTTGACGAGTGAAAGTCATTTGACAAAATTGTCCATGAAGATTTTTTAGTAATTCACCTGGCCATGGTCTCTATCCATGAGCACTGCATATATTTTTAGCCATCTTCCTTTCTCTGCGGAGAAATACAGGAATGCTCTGTCATTGTGCCTTGTACTGGGTTGTTAGAAAGTTCTGATTTTGTCATCAGGACTATTCACTATGGAACCGTCTTGGGGCGACCTTGGCGAATGGAGACCGCAGCGAGGAAGCCGTGGAGGCCTACACGCGAGCACTGGAGATTCAGCCAGGATTCATCCGGTCCAGATACAACCTGGGAATAAGCTGCATCAACCTGGGCGCCTACAGGTGAAGTATAGCAACAGGCCAAGGATGAAGGCCATGCCCAGGACTGAGGTTGAATAACCTCAAAGGTTGTTTCCAAGTAAAAATGCCTGCCTTGGTATTCCTCTTCCTGCCGTTAAGAGTGAATGCAGAGCCTTCAGATCCCAAGGACTGTTTGAGCTGGAGCCCTGTGCTTCTCTGCTTCTCAATCTTTAGAGAGCAGCAGTCGGCTCCGCGTCTTGGGAAATGCAGATTCCCAACCCCTGGCCCCTGAGATTTTGATTCAGTTGGCCTGGATTAGGACAAGTTATCAGGGTTTTCAACACTGCCATGGGTAACTCTTCGAGAAATACTACCCATCGATCTTTCATTTTCCACTTAAGGAAAAAAGAGCCTTGGGGGTGTGGGCAAGGGGACCTGGCAAAAGGACTTCAGAAAGTCCCAGAACCAGTGTTTAGCAAGGCAAAACCAAGAATCCGGGTTTTCTAAACCCAATATACCAATCAAGTTAGTTGGGAGAAAAAGAAAAAACAAGACTGGGTTTGTAGTTTAAAATGCCTTTCTCATTCTCATCCTTCGTCATTAAGGTCTGCCTCCTCTCTATCTTTTCCCCATTACCAGGGCCTACAAATGACCTTTATTTCTTTCCGATAATGAAAGTATGGGTAATCTTTTTTCTTCTTTCTTTTCCCATTTTTTTCTATTTTCTAAATAAACAGGTATTACTTTCATAATTGGAAAAGGAACTAAATGTTAGTTTAGAAACCTACAAAAAATGTAAGCCCTTTCCCATTCTCTGAAAGAGCCAGGCTTTAATCAGACAAGCCTGGGTTAAAATCACAGCTCTGCCACGTACCGGTTTCATGACTGGTATATAATTTTTAGCCTCAATTCCTTCATTTGTTAAAAAAAGAGAGAGAAAGAGGTAATGATTATTTTTCAGGATTATCGTACAGGTTAAATGTAATTGCCTAGCACAGAGCAGATGCTCAATGCCTAGCAGGCATTTATTATGATGATTATTATTTTTGCCAACATCATCCTTATTACTACTATTTATTTAGTAAGTCATCAGAGAACTATATAACTAGATTTCACTCTTTTGACATCTGAAGAATTACTGCTTGTGAACTTCATTGGTGCATTTTGCCACTGGCAAACATTGAGACCCTAGAAAATAGTTGTTGCACTATACAAAAAAACTCTTACAAGGAGTGTTAGTCACTGGATTAACTGTGTCAAGAGGATTTTCTCAGATCAAAACCAGGAAGAGCTGAATGACTCCTTATGAAGCGGCTTGCTTTATTTTATGGACACTGTGAAATGTGCCACTACAGAGGCCTTGTTTACATCAGCTGTGCAAAAGCCCAGAGCTGACTCTGTGCCAGCCCCCTACACATCAGCTGTCCAAGCCCTGCGGATCTCTGTTTTGTATCCTAACTTCATTCCTGGTTTCATCTTAATTTCCCAACCAGATTTCCTATTTACCTCTTTCATTCACTTTCTTCTAGATATGTTATGTATATGTATTTTATAAGACACCCTAGATTCCTTATTTTTAGAACAAGGGAGATGTAAAAAAAGAAAATACATATATATAACATATAATGTAATTGTTGTAACTGTTCTTACGAAAGGAATATAATATATAAATATTACATACTATATATATACTATATATATTTATATATTTCCATTAAAAGAGGCTTTTATAAAGCTCCTAGATGAGTTTACTTCTTAGGGTTAGAAAACAATACTTGAGTGGCCAATAAAATACTTTCTTGGCGTTCACAGATACAAAATTCAGCAGAGTTACTATTTGCAGGAACCCATGAAGGCTCATGACAGGTAAAAATGGCCACCTCCATGAAGGTGTAAATTGTAAATCCTCAAGCAGAAAGCCTCCCATACTGGAACAAGTTAATTTTAGGGTTGCCAGATGAAACACAGAATGCCCACTTAAATTTGAATTTCAGATAAACAACAAATAAGTTTTTAGTATAAGTATTTCCAAATATTTCATGGGATATTCCTGTACAATTGGCCTACTATATCCATGGGCTTCACATCTGTGGGTTTAACCAACTGTGGATTGAATACATTTTTTTAAAAATTATTAAATATATATTTTTAAAAAGATAATATAGTATGACAAATACATAACATTTACATTTTAGTAGTTATAAGTAATCTGGAGATGATTTAAAGTATATGGGAGGTGTGTGCAGGTTATATGCAAATACTATGCTATTTTATACAAGGGACCTGAGCATTCTCAGATTTTGGTATTCTCAGGGGTTCGTGAAACCAATCCCCATGGATACCAAGGAATGTTTATCTGAAGTTCACATTTAACTATGCATTCTGTATTTTTATTTGCTAAATCTGGCAACGCTACTCAGTTGGCTACTTTGGAACATAACGACTAAGTTTTGTGGGTCTTTTATTGTCATGCCAGATGTGGGAAATCTGAGAAGTGGTAAAAATTTTGTGCTTTTTCGTAAAAAAAAAAAAAAAACCATCAAGTGAGATGTAAAAAAAAAAAATTTTTTACATTGAGATGGAGGCTCGCTGTCACCCAGGCTGGAGTGCAGTGGCGCGATCTCGGCTCACTGCAACCTCCACCTCCCAGATTCAAGCAATTCTTCTGCCTCGGCTTCCCGAGTAGCTGGGATTATAGGCACCCACCACCATGCCTGGCTAATTTTTGTATTTTTAGTAGACACAGGGTTTCACCAGGTTGGCCAGACTTGTCTCGAACTCCTGACCTCAAGTGATCTGCCTGCCTCAGCCTCCCCAAGTGTTGGGATTACAGGTGTGAGCCACTCCGCCTGGCAAGAGAGAGACATAAATCTTAATTCTGAAAAGAAGTATAGCTTGAGGTATAAGTGCATACTTAGGAAATAACAACTCTCAATAGAGAAAGGGCTCAAAAGGAAACAAGGAGCTGGTGTAAGTACTTTCAAATTCACAAAAGGCTTGGGACCGCTCCCTCAAGAACTGCAAGTGTCAGTGTATGTAGCTGGAACACTTGCTGCTTGTCATCACATTTTCTTTAAAGAGTCAAAGGCAAGCACTAACCTGGCACCATATACCATTAAAATAAGGAGAGGAAATTGTTGGTGTGAAACTTGGCTATAGCTCAAACTGTTACACTTTTGTCAATAGAGCTCCAGACTACAGCTTAGGCCAATGAGTCTTAACCTTTTCAAAAATGAGGACTCCTTTTGCTGAAAATTTCATCCCCCTTGATAGTAATAGTTTTAGTATGAGTATAATAAGGGAAAGCTATAACGTGATGCTTTTAAATGAATGGGTTTTTTAATTAATGATGACAATATACACAAATGCCTGAAAATTATACATACATGTGTGAAACATTTGAAAACTATTCACACATATACATGTACACTCTTCTGAGTCCCCCAAAAGGACTCTGAGTTCACAAGCAGGGGAACAGGTTTAGACTCTCTTTATGGGGGGAAAATAAAACTGGAGTCATTTGATGAGGTGAGTAAGTTCGACTGTTCTGTTTCTCTCCAAATCCCTCTGAAACCATTACCACACACTTGGGGCTGGAAGCAGCCAGTGAATTAGAAGCTTTCAAGATCTTCCTTTCCCTCGAGTTCTTGCAGGTCTGGGTCTATGAGAGAACACTGGGAGACATCAGTAGAGCTGCCATCCTGTGAAGCGGGGGCAAAAAGGGCCTCTCAATTAGGCTCCCTATGTCCATCCATTTATAAATCTCCCTCTCTTGCTTGATTACAAGAAAACCAGAAGAAGGGGTGATTAGAACACCCACTCCATTCCATTATCCAGGTTGCTACATACACCATGACCATTTCTCACTTACCTTTTATTTTCAGGCAGATCTAACAATACAGATGAGCAAATCCCTGGATTATGTGCATTAGAATTAGAAATCCAGCCTCATTTTCAAAGTTTCTTACCATATGCTTAATACCTACCTTGCAGGATTAAATGAGATCAAGTGTATGAAAAGTTTTTGAGAACAGTAAAGTGGGTGCAAGTTAAAGTGGCATGAGTATTCTTCGGAAGGATCAGTTTGTCAGATATACTCTACAAGGTTGGGGTGAAATGGGGGTACTGAAGAGGGCAGACCCAGCAGGTACACCTGGCACCTGAGCAGCAGAGTGGACTAGTGGTTTAGAAGAGCTAGAAGGACTTGAGACAGCATCTAACTCGGCTTGTCTCAGACTCGGTGTTCTCAGGACCCCTCTATACCTTTAGCAATTATTGAGAACCTAAAAGGACTTTTGTTTATGTGGGTTATATCTATCAATATTTACCATATTAGAAATTAAACTGAAAACATTTTTAAAGATTCATTTAGAAAGAATAAATCTTACTACATGTTATAATAACATTTTTTACAAAAAAAAATGATTATTTTCCTAAACAAAAACAGTTTAGTGGGAAGAGTGACATTATTTCACATTTTTGCAAGTTTCTTTAATATCTTGCTTACTGGAAGACACACACTTACTCCTGCTTCTGCAGTCACTCTGTTGGGATATCATGCACCATGTAGTCTGTGGAAAATTCCACTGTAAGCATGTGAAAAAATGACAGCAAAAAGGTCAAATAACATCTTAGTTTTATCATAAAAATAATTTTGACCTCATTGATTCCCAAGCTTCTCCAGAGCACACTTTGAGGACTATTGATCTTACTCGGTGATAAGAGCTTTCACATAGATTGATTCAACTGCACCTTACGAAGTTTTTAAATGTCTTTGATTATCCCTATTACACACTCAGAGAAAGTAAGCCTTGGAAAAAAAAAAAAAAAACAAGAAATTTGCATACTGCTAAATAACTGGGATTCAAGACAGGTGCCCAATAATAAACTCAATCTACTCTAGCTGTGTTGCTTACATCTAGCCCTAATGGGAAAAATTAGACCACTTTGTTTTTAAGTAGGGCTATATTCTTCCTCTGAAACCTAGTTATAGAAATCAAATCTGCAAATGGATTAAGTGTTCAAATCATTCTTAGAGCAGGGGAAAATTGAATGCATTAATGAATTTGCATGGTTTTGCTATTATTCTTTCTCTCCCACCTGACATTCCTAAAATAAAATGTTTTCTTTCTTTTTTTTGAGACAGTCTCACTCTGTTGCCTAGGCTAGAGGGCAGTGGTATGATCTCGACTCACTGCAACCTCTGTCTCCTGGGTTCAAGTGATTCTCCTGCTTCAGCCTCCCTTGTAGCTGGGATTACAGGCGCATGCCACTACACCTGGCTATTTTTTGTATTTTTAGTAGATACAGGGTTTTGCCATGTTGGCCAGGCTGATCTTGAACTCCTGACCTCAAGTGGTCCACCTGCCTTGGCCTCCCAAAGTGCTGGGATTACAGGCTTGAGCCACCGTGCCCAGCCTGCTTTTCTTTTTTCTTTCTGACCTCACTATATTTAACAATGATTGCTCACTAAAGAATATAAGAGAATTAGAAAGTTGTTCATTTGATCATCCAGAACACGTTGAGATGATTTAAAATTTTAGACTAAAATCACTGAATCCAATTTTGTTTTGTTTTGTTTACATTTGCTAACTCTGAAATGTGACACATTTTAAAATATGTTTTTCTACCTTCTTAGAGAAGCGGTCAGCAATTTTCTCACTGCCCTCAGTTTGCAAAGAAAGAGCAGGAATCAGCAGCAAGTTCCTCATCCTGCAATCTCTGGGAATATCTGGGCTGCCCTCAGAATTGCACTCTCTCTGATGGACCAACCAGAACTCTTCCAGGCGGCTAATCTTGGTGACCTGGATGTCCTCTTAAGAGCTTTCAACTTGGATCCTTGAAGAAAGAATAATACCAGTACTAATAATCCCCGATCTGTGTGATTGTACTGAAAATGAAAAACTATTTTATTATGAATTTCAAAAGGATAAATCAAATATTCAAAAGGCCATGGTCATATAGCCCAAGGAAATTAATTCCTGTGGACAATGCCCAGTCTCTGTTCAGATCCAAAAGCACAAAATGTTGTATATAGAGTCAAAGTCAGGCTCAATAGAAGAATTAAGAGACTCAAGACAAACCAAGATAAAGTAACTGTGTGTTGAATACTCTTTCCACAAGTTGCAAGTATATTGCAACACACATTCTTTGGGTTTTTTGTCTCCCCTTGCAGCTGATGACACATCTGAGGAACTTGTTCATGGGAAACATGGAAAAAGCACTGCCTCAGATTGGGAAATTCTGACTGTTTCTGAACTGTCTCCTTTTGCAAGACTGAACATAGTTTGGGCCATTGGTGCATGCACATATATTAACTTGTGACTAAAGACAGTCATTGCTTAAACCTGTTCCAATTTTAACTTTTACTGTAGCCCTTTGATTCCAGAGAGGGAGCTTTGCTGGCAAAAGCAGTTTTTGCACTAGAAATTTTTGCTGTTCCCAATCTAAACTTTTCTGGGATTGTATATATGCACTTTAATATCTTATTTATGCCTTGCTGGAGTTTTGTTTTGTTGCTCCAATTTTTAACTTGGGGGTGAAGGATTTGAGAACTCAGCCTCATTAGATCAACGGACCAAATAAACAATTCCTGAAAGTAGTTTTTCATAGTGTAGGATTTTGAAGGAGTGTTTTTCTTAAAGCAGATACGATGACATAAGGCGTAAATATGGCAAACAGATCTTTTCATTCACATGCTTTCTGGGACTGTATGAACATAAGAAAGACACAAGGTACTGCCTCTGCATGCATTCTCTGCAGGAAAAAATTTGATGATATCGTGATTTCTATTGAGTTCAAATTAACTTGCTTAAGTGTCATATTCTACTGGCTTTCTAACTGCCCTGCACACCAATATTCCTTTTAAACCATAAATATTTTAAATAATATTTCTTAAGAGTGATAAACAACATTTTTCCTAAAAATTATGTTTCTTTAGTTTCATAATAACCTGCACTGTTCATCCTCTTGCATTCTAAGTAATAGAAGAGCAACACTTTCAAACCAAATCTCACTGAATGCCAGTGATTTCATATGAAAGATGCAATGCCTCTTTGGCTCTTTGAACATTTAGCAAGTATTGGGAATTTTCTATTAGCAGTGGTGTTTTCATTGGTTAAATTCCACTTCATTCTCTAGAGTGTTTTGTATGTGTTCGGGGCTTGATGATTATTTTGAAAGACACATTCTTTTTAAAGAATTAGGAACATTGTTTGCAAAATGCTAATCAGAATATAATTTTACCAGTGTCAGGTCTAATAAGTTATCCCATTCTTCTTTACCTGGTCTCCTCCCTTCATCTAGAACCTTCCCCAAAGTAGTCTAATCCTAACTTTTTATTTATGTTCTTTGATTAGTAATATCTCATTCCACTCATGATTATAGTTACCCACAAAAAATGAAACAAAATGACATCAACAAAAAAAAAAACTCCACAGAATTGGGGTCAAAACAGTCTAATTGCCCAGGGAATAAGCTTCTACTGAGGGGCAAATGTGCACACGTGCTTATAAAATGAATGCAAGGTCCAGGAATAAAATCCTCTCCTCTGTCACATTTGAAGTCCCTGGGTTGTGAGAGGGCCTCAAGTTAACAGAAACCACAAGTCCTTGAGGCTTACGTATGTTATAACCTATTCTAGTTTATAAAGACAAAGAGCTGAGGCCACTGTGAGGAGTGTCAGGTTTTGATATTCATTGTCAAAGCTCACTTGGGCCAGGTGAGAGCTCCAGCTGGTCAGCAGAAGGCAGAGGCATTCAGGCACTCATCATGGGTAGCGGCAACCACCCAGTCTCAGCCCATGCTTCTCTACAGTCTCAGCAGCAAAGTAAAGCTCAACAATACTTTCAAGAATGGTATTCTGAGAGTTGTAGAATTCGAGAAACCCAGTCTGGTAAGGACTCTTGGGGCCAGCCTCCCAGCTGTGGCAGGGCCTGCTTGAATATGCCTGATGGAACAGCATCCTTTCCTTCCCTGCTCCTTCCTTCTACCATCTCTGTACCTTGACCAGAAAGTCAGCTTGAATAGTCCATGAGGAGCCTCTGAACAAAAGATTCAAAACAAACTTTGGAAGTGTTCTGTGATGCCATTCTATACTTTGAGGAGCAACTGAATTTGCAGCCTGAATTTAAAGCCTGAAACTAGTATAAATGTCAAATAATTAATTTGTTGCTAAATGGTGGCAAATTTTGTGGCCCAAGTTTTATTTTGCTATTGGAACACAAACTCCAAGGAGCTGTTTTAGGGAAGACTAAACAATTTTCCATTCTCACCATTATTTGGCAACTTGCAGAGCATTTTTAGTAGGACTTTCTCCAGTATATGTAGTATCCATCAGATCTAAGATTTTTTGTAGGCTATCAAGAAGTCCAGAATTATGGCCCAAAAGGAAAAGAGTTGCATTTTTCAATAATATTTTTAATAAAATTAGGTAAAAACCATTATTAAAACATGAGTGACAAGCTGGGTGTGGTAGCTCACGCCTGTAATCCCAGCACTTTGGGAGGCTAAGGCGGGCAGATCACGAGATCTGAGGTCAAGACCAGCCGACCAACATGGTGAAATCCCAACTTTATTAAAAACACAAAAATTAGTCAGGCATAGTGGCATGCACCTGTAATACCAGCTACTCAGGAGGCTGAGGCAGGAGAATCGCTTGAACCAGGGAGACAGAGGTTGCAGTGAGCTGAGATTGCACCACTGCACTCCAGCCTGGGTGACAGAGTGAGACTCTGTCTCAAAAAAAAAAAAAAGAAAAAAAAAAAAAAGAGTGACAGTTTATAGGAATAGAGCACCACCAAAAACTAAGTAGCAAGACTTTAGAACAGTCTTTTTGTATAAGTCATATACAGTAAATGTTTGGTTTTTTAAAAGTGCATCTACTTTATTTTTTGGCAGAACTATTTTTGGCATCTCATCTTCAGGGCATGAAATTGTCATTTAATTTACTCTTTCTGTTTGAAAGGGGAGGGTATCCTTATTTCCCTTCTGAGGTACTCTGAGAAGGCCTTGAGTTTCCCTTCTCATGTACTAATGTATAACAGCCTAACAGCTCCTAGAAGATCATATTCTTACTAGAATGGCCATTCAGTTACATAGAGGTGACTTCCGGGGACTGACTTCGCCTGTAGATTCAATGAAAATACAGAGAAAGCCAGTGATTATTGCTGAGTTTCAAAATATAACCATTTCTAGTAGGCTAGTTCTACATGCTCTTGTACCTTCCTGGTGAGGAGCAGGCAGAGGGATAGGGTAGAGGAGAAGGAATAAAGATCCCTCTCACTGGGCCAATCATACTGATTCATTCTCTTTACTTCCTCGAAAACAAACTCTCCATGACTCCTGAAAAATGAGCAGATCTTGTCCACCAGGAAACTTTAATAGAATACTATGCACTGTGCTTTCTCAGCCAATCTGGATTCCTACTAGAACAGGAAAGTAAAGAAACATAACTGGGTAGGAATGTCCACTTATGTTTCACAAACTCACTTTCAGAGTTTCATGCCACTTTCTTCATTCTTCTCTTTAAGAGACTATTATATTGAACATGGGCCCCATGTCTAAATGCTTGTATAGATAAATATTTCTGGTATAATCTTGCCATACAAGCGAGACTTGAACACAGTTGAAGCTAGTCCCACTTATAATAAGAGCTTCCAAACTCTTTGTCATAAACTTTGTCTGTGAGCTTGGGAATATAGAGAAAGCAAGTTGGTCATTCTGAGACCCTTCCTCATTTGCCCTGAATCAGTTCCCCAAGATTGGACTGTACTTTAAGCTAGTTGTTGTAACAGTGGTGGTTGTTGTTTTATATCTTGAGATACTTCTAGAACATTCTAGAAACAGGGTATTCTAAAGGTTTACTTTATATGCCATCCTTTTTGAACTCTCTTATTTTAGAAATTATTACACATGCACACTTCTGATTTCAACCTTGTAAAATAATTTCAAATTCATTCCCTATCCACATTTTACCACAGTTTCCCTATCATCTCAGTAGTTATAGAACTGGTTGAAATTAAACTGTTTTGAACTAAGAAGTACATACATACATATATATATTTTTAAAGAGTGTTCATAGATAAACTCTGGCATAAAGTTTGTAAAAAAGCAATTTTTTAAAAGCAAAACGTATAACCTCAGGTACAAAAATATTGCATGCATTAGTACTTGCAAATTTGCCTATTCAAATATTAACCAAAGCATGCAAGATAACTTGACTGAATGTAAATTTACACAGTGCATGATTAAGTCTCATAGGTTAGCCTATTGTTCCTTGCCTCTGTACAAGGGAGCATTTTTATGAACTTTGTGTTACAGTTTTTCTATTTGCTTTTCTTATCCTATCCTTGAGATTGTTTTCATGCTATCACACTGAACTTTACAGATATTCACACATCTGGTTTGTACAGTATTACCAGTACCAAACTAATCCTCTGAAGAATCTGGGTACTTAGACATCTAAACACTTTTTTAAAAACCAGTTGAGGCACAACAGATCCAAAACTTAAACAAATCCAAGTGTCTAAATGCTACTAAACTAAATCATGTTGACTGCCTCAGCACATAAAGGTTTGGACTCTAAATTCTTAATAATGCATTTCAAAATTTTTCCTAAAAGTTTGGGAATAAATTAGAAAAACTGATATTCTAAATAAGGTGAGGCGGTTGGGGTAATGTCAGGCACATCAAAATCATCACACAGCCAAGTAGATATGAGGCCTTAATTTCCATAAATGTCACATAGCGAGTGTGTGGGGTATCACAACATTGTTCTGATACAGCCCTATTTGTATGGTAGTTGAGCTGCTTGGGCTATATGTCCCTTGAGAAACTGGACTTGATAAACAGGTCTAAAAACACTGATATTTACGGAGTGATGAGGTGGTTTCATGGTCACTCAGAACCAGCTCTGAAATCCTCTCACTGCCTTTTCCCATAACCGCTATTTTATGAGGAGACCACAAAGGGAGAGAGCAAAGCTCAGTGAGACCATATGGTCTTACATTAGTAACAGCTTTGTTACTCACTCCATATACCCCTGTACCCCTACACAATACCATGAGCTCAAAGACAGAATTCTACACATAACACACACAGCAAAGGCCATTGCGGGGAGGCATTAAACAGTTATGAGGAAAGAAAAAAAAAAATTAAACTGCGAGGTTTAACAACCTCTCATGTGGTATTTTGCCTTGAACGAAGTTTCCACTACCTGCAACCTCAGCAGAAATACCAAAATAACACAGTCTAGAGACAAGTGTCCCAATCTCAGAACTGTTTTCTCAGGACCTTCTCCATAAGAGAAAACTAACTTGCAGTGCTGCAGAGTGTCACAGCAAAAACCCTGAGGAGCTCCATGAGATACTTTTAGAAGCCTGCACTCAAAATAATATTAAGATGGTAACAACAACAGTTAGGCAGTTCTTTGCTCAACTATAAAATGTGCATCATTCGTTGGGGAAGGGGGAGGAGGAGGGATGGTGGTCTTTGGATTTCTTGGAAAGGGAAATGGTATAACACAAAAAGACTAAGAGATACACACACTCAGCTCAGTAATTTGAGCATTTGGCATTTTCACTGAGATATATAGCATTTCTTCACGGATACCATACAAGAATTCTACCATGTGAGAAATGTGTTCATGATGGACTACATTACCAGTAGTTAAGGGAAATACAGCAAACCTAAGTTTTTACCAACTTCCTTTCATTTTTCCCTATATATCATCTAACCCAAACTTTCTTCAATTTACATTGCCCAAATTTGTTTACATTGGTTGGAAAAAATCTGATTAATTTATTAAACTTTTTACAAACTGTAACAAACATTTAACTATTTAGAAATGACATTTCTACATGTTTTATATATCTATGAATATTGCATATCTAATCTAATCTAAAAATGTTGTTTTGAGATAATTCTTCTGTGATGCTTCCTCATCATGCTCATAAATGTTTAAAGTCTTGGGATTTCATTTTCAGGCTGAAATAGATAACAAGAAAAAAAATTGTTTAAACGTTTACATTGACTTACTAAATTAATACCAATTCAAATTAAGTGACCTATAGTAAATGAATGGCAATGGGGGGGAGGGGATTTTAAAGTTATTGGCATATTATGTGATACTGTATCAGTGATTTAGTGAAATAATATGTATCATAGCACAACTCTGTTGGGTATTAAGGCTTCATCTTAGTATTTCCCTGCGTTGCTCTTTGAAATAAAATTACTACCATAAAAATAACCTCTTACCATATTGATGTGTTTAATTTACTGAGTTGGCTTCTAATTTGCATACCAAGATTAAGGTAGTATTTTTGTACTATTATTGGAAGCATGCCTTCCCTTTTTCACATTATTAAAATCGTATTTATATTTGTGCAGTTTTAAACTATGTTTTCAAATAAACTTTGCGGCTTCAAGGTCTTTTCAGGAATCTTTCAAAATGGGATTTGGGAATCAGAACTGCTTCTGATCAAATGGAATCCAATTTGTACTACTGGCTAAAGGTCCTTTATGAAATACTGAATATTACTACATATGATTTTGCATGAGCTATCTGGAAATCAGGAATGCATTTTTGGATATACAACAAAACTTTAAAAATCTTCCTCCTTTGTTAATTTTTTAAGACTAAAATATTATTTAACCTGAAATTGAATTTTGTGATTCTTTTTAGAATAAAAATATTAAAATAAATTTCAGTTTTAGGGTCTTTTGGTTTTCTGGTCAGTCAATAAATATTTAGGTACATATTAAGTGCTGACACCATTCTGGGCATAGGTCACAGTAGTAAGTGAATGAAATCAAACTTGCCCTTGAAGAACTTAGATTTCTGTGAAAGGACGCCTACAAATACTTTAACAAATAAGAATGCCATGTGTTACAAAGTACTAGAACAAGGCAAATAAGTTATTATGAGAACGAGTGGGGGGCTCCTTTATCTGTAGGTGGTCAGGAAAGTTTTCTCTTCCATGACATTTGGACTGAGATTTGTTGACAAGTAGAGCTGGGGACAATGCTACTGGCAGAGCCAATACCTTGTGCAAGATCCCAAGGCAGCAATGAGCTTAGTGTGCATTCAGGAAGAAGCGGGGACAGGGTGGTAAGGGCTGTGAGCTGCGAGACCTTAGTAGATGGCCTGGCAGATGGAAGATCATGGGAGGCCTTCCCAGAGCAGAGTCAAGGGCAGATTTGCTCCACACACAGATGACGGTGTTCAGACTGAAGTTTCTGTTTTTCCAAACCATTTTCAAAATAAAGTCCTTGAGTCAGGTTGGTAGTGGAGGGAACTGCAGGCTAAGAGAAGAGAGCTATACAGCAAGAGACTGGAGCATCCCTTTCTCACTTGTCACTGTTCCATCTTTCAATCTGAGGCAGCCCCTGACCTTCATAGAATTCCATTTTTTCCCCTATAAAATCAAGCTGTACATATTTTTTTCCCGCTTCACTGCTGTGCTATGTAAGGTAAAAATCCAACTATCTAGTGATTAATTGAGGCTTCTCCCCGACTCCTTGAATATCTCAAGCCTCTTTCATATCCCCTACTTCCACTTTTTAAATGTAAACTATATGAATTTCCTGAAATAGCTGTGTTCTCTCCGTATGTATATAAAAGCAACTGCAGGTTGAAGAGTTCTTTATATTCTTTACAAGTTTCCTTAAAGCAATACCTTAATTACCCAACACTTTAGGGCTTGTGAAGGACTTTTTTTTCTTTCTTACATCTATAATAAATAATTCTGCCTAGTAATCATCTTAATGCATCAGAATTCAGGGAACTGATGGCTAGTTTTAGTATTTCACCCTGTGGAACTAACCTGCCGATCCTCAGTAGGCCCCATGCTTAAGGTTGCTTCCCTGAGCTGAGATGGCTGGAAATGAAGCAGCTCAAGTTCTTTGAAAGGGGGACACAGAAGCAGCTGATATTTACTGAAACTGGCAGATTCCTAGGCTATATGTTTCTACTCTGCCATTTAACTCCAATGGACATCCTCGTCCTAAGTTTCTGCCTACTGCATATGATGAACATAAAAGCAAAAACTGTATATGGTGAAAAAAAAAATCGCTCCTAGATTAAAAATGGACTAAAGATCACATCTAATTCTACAAACTGTAAAAACTGACCCAGGAAAAAGTAGGCTTGAGAAAAATAACCAATATGATAGCTAGCATTGCTCATGGTAAAGACTGCTATTGATTAAACATTGACAAAAGGAGAAACTCTTCTTGACAAAATTTAGGTTTGCAAAATTTCACCTAGTGAAGCTGGACCTGGTGGAAATAATGGTTGCAAAAGGGACTCTGCAATAGCAAAAGTTTTCATAAGGAAAAATCATAAGGCTTAAAATTAAATGATGACTCAGATGGTTCTCCTAAAATTTACAGAACTGATACCAATTATACTAATTTCATCAAAACAGAAAAAAATGCAAAAGCTTGGAAATAACTCAACTGGATAACTACTTCACACCTTCTTCTCTCTCCTCAAATCCCTAAATTCCCCCATCCTCACTCTCAACTGATAGATTTGCTTCCTATTTTCCTGAGAAAATAAAGCAGGCAAAAGAGAACTGTCAGACTCTCTCAGCCCTGTGCCTCCTCACCACCAGCAGCTGCACTCCTGGTCTCTGCCTTCCTACTATTGTCATGGTCTTTCTATGTCCTTGCCTAAATCAGCTCCCCACTTTGGCACCAGATCCCATCATCTTTTCCCTGCTCAAGGACATCAGATCAGCTCAAGGACATCTTCCATCTCTCTTTCGCATCCTTAATATTTCGATTTCTATTTGACCATCTTGTTTCTCACATTTAAAAACAAAAACCTTCTCTTGACGTCACCCCATTTCCCATCAGCCACCACTCCCATCTTTGCTTCCCATAGTGGTAAAACTCCTCAAAGAGTTGGCTGCATTCATTATCTGCAATTCCCCTTCTCCCATTCTCTCTTCAACCCATTCCTTTCACTGTGCTTCCAAATATGTTCCCACAGAGATCACCCAGGACCTTGATTCTCAGTCCTCAGCTTACATACCCTATAATGGTTATTGGAAAGCTGATCACTCTCGACCCATTAAGATACCTCCTTGGCTTTCACTCCAGGCACCATGCTCTTGGCTTTCCTCCACCTTGACGGTCATACCTCTCAGTCTCATTTGTTGGCTTGTCCTCTCCTTGATTTCTTAGGTGGAAATCCCCCGGGGTTCAGTCCCTGGACTTCTATTTCCTGTCTTCCTCCATTGGTGATTGTACCCAGGCCCACTGTTTCAAATAGCATCTAGATGCCAACAAGTCCCAGATTTCTATCTTTAGTCCAGAACTCTCTCCCAAAATCAAGTTGCATATCCAGCTTCCTACTCAACATCAACCATGGAATTCTAATAGGTGTTTCAAACTTAACACATCTTAAACTGGACTCCCGGTCATCTTTCTCCACCATTACCATCCCAATCCCACTAAGCCTTCCCTATCTTAGTTGATCGTAACTACACTCTTCAGTTCCTCAGGATAAAAACTTTGGGGTTAGCTTTAACCACTCTCAATTCCCCCATACCCTACATCCTATGCATCAGGGAATCCTGTGGGTCTTACCTTCAAATGTATCCCAAATCTGACCATTCTCACTAGCTTCACTGCTCCCACCCATTTGAGCCATCATCCTCCCACCTTGCTGACCACAGGAGCCCCCACCTTTATCCTTGCCTTCCTACCATCTAGTCTGAACAAAGAATTTATGAAACTTCACTCAGATTGGGTCATTGCTCTGCAAAAGGCCCTATAATGGCTCCCCATTGCACTCTAGAGTCAAGCCCTTCCCAAAGCCTCCCAGGTCCAGGCAATCTGGCCCCTCTCTGACCTCCTCTCCCATTACTCTCCCCCCAACTCCCTTCTTTTGAGCCATACTGATCCTTTTGATGCTCCTCTGACATAGACATGCCCCCACTGTGGAGCCTTTGCACCAGCTAATTACTCTGACAAGCATATTCTTTCCCCAAATATCCCCTAGGATGACTCCTTCATTTCCTTCAAGTCTTGGTTCATATCTCACCTCCAGATGATTTGTTTCCTAAGTACTCTATACTGCAATCTGTATCCTCACCTCTCCTATATGTTTTCTTTTTTCAATAGCACTTAGTACCTCTTGTTATAGAATCTACTTATTTTTTATGTTTACTATCTGTCTCTCCTTGCCAAAAAATAAGACTCAACAAGGGCAGGAATATTGTCTTTATTTACAGATATATTCTAAGAAAAAAATACATAGCACATAGTAGATGTTTATTATTTATTGAATGATGAACCATGCTATTTAAATTAACAAAATTAACTGACTTAATGAAATTATCTCCAGAAAAATACTCTTAGAAAAAAGTCATCAATGTTGGTATAATTCTGATATTTTAAAAAATCTTTTACATTAAGACAAAGGGTCAAAACCTCCATAGAGCCAATGCTAAATGGGTGAAAATGGTGATATAAAAATGCCCTGTGTTCACCAGATTGTCATATGCTTTATGTAACTCACCTCAGGTATTATTATGCCCACTACACAGAAGAAAAGACTGAATCTCAGGGAATTATGTGTTTACCAAAGTCACATAGCTAGTCTGTGTTGGAAACAGGATTTGACTTCAAGTCTGTATGCCTCCACTCTTGCAATTATACCACCCTGCCTCCCTACCACACTGAAAGACTTTTCCTAGTTGATTTTTAAATGACTGGTTGCATGAGGGATGAGAACGGCTCACTGTTTCCTATTAAATTTCCTACTACAACTGAAGTTTGTCACCAACAGCATTTGAAAAGCAGGACCAAAAATTCAACAGTGCATATTCACACTGGTAAACTCCTCCATTAGGCATGAAGAGATATAGCAAATGGATGTGAGTTGAAGGAGGCTTGCAAACATTGTCCCAAAAACATTCTCTGGTGGCAAATAATTCTTCACAATCCAATCATTCCCTCATTGTTTTATTCCCCTCACCAAAACATATGGCAGAACACTGAAGCTGGTCATTTACTTGGATTTTTAAATATATAGGTTCATTGTTCTAAAAAATTTGAGCATCAAATGGATTTTTAAGCACTGATTAACGTATCCTATATGGTAGGCAAAATAATACCTCAGCGAAGATGTCCACATGCTAATACTCAAAACCTGTGAATATGTTACTTTACATGGCAACAGCAACTTTGCAGATGTGATTACGTTAAGGATCTTGAGAAGAATATTCTGGATTATCTGGGTGAGATCAATGTAATCACAAGGGTTTTTTTGCTTTTTGCTTTTTGTTTTTTTAAGATGGAATCTCACTCTCTTGCCCAGGCTGGAGTGCAGTGGTGCCATCTGAGCTCACTGCAGCCTCAGCCTCCTGGGTTCAAGTGATTCTCCTGCCTTAGCCTCCCAAGTAGCTGGGATTACAGGTGTGCACCACCATGCCTGACTAATTTTTATATTTTTAGTAGAGGTGGGGCTTTGCCATGTTGGCCAGGCTGGTCTTGAGCTCCTGGTCTCAAGTGATCCACCCGGCTTGGCCTCCCAAAGTGCTGGGATTACAGGTGTGAGCCACCAGGCCTGGCCCACAAAGGTCTTTATAAGAGGGAAGTAAGTCAGCCACGGGAGATGTGACAACGGAAGCAGGGGCTGCAATGTTGCCAATGCTGTGAGGAAACCACGAGCCCAGGAATATGAGCAGGCTCTAGAAGCTAGAAAAAGCAGGAATTGATTCTCCCTTATGGCTTCCCTACCAACACCTTGATTTTAGCCCCGTAAGACCATATGCATAGTAGTAATACATTTATTATTTTAAGCCACTGAGTTCATGGTAATTTGTCACAGCAGCAACAGAGAACTCATACACCTTAGAGACACAGTGTCATAGAAGTGCCTAAGTCTCTGGACATAGCATGTGCCCACTCTGCTTTTATCTGTGTTAAGGGGGCCATCAGCAAACCAAGATCCAGGGGAACAAGAGAAAGATTTGTGACGTGACATCCAGCAGATAAAGTCCAAGGCAGGAGACTCTGCCCTGCCCCAAATCCTCCCTCCTCCACAGAGGTAACAATGTGCCATCACTGAAGGTCCACTGTGATGGCTGCCTGGTAACGCCAAGAACCCCTAAAAAGAAATAAGATTAGTCATTGTCTCAAGTTACCTGTTCCACTGACAGATGAAAACAATCAATGGCAGAATCCGTTTACTTGGCATTTTTCAAAATTAAAGAAAATAAGAGCCATAAAGGGCCTCAGATTGTGAGAATAGCTTTTAATTTAAAACAATTGAAGCAATAAATCATCCATCTCTCTTTCCATCACAGGCAAATACTCTCCCAAAACATTTGATATAGTTTAACAACAACTGTGACTAGTGCAAAATCAAATAAATACAAACTCTTTCAGGAGCCAACATCAAAACCTGCTGGACAGGTAGGCACAGGAACAGACTCAGCCTCTGCTAAGGCTGAGACAAGCGGCACATTGAGAGTGGCAGGATTTGTGCAGTGTTTCAACACACTCAGCTTTGAACAGACTCAACAATACCTGGGGAGGGGAAACCATAGGAGAATTTTGCCTACAATGAAATGAATATGCCCAACACCCTCATGTGGCTAATATCTTTGGCATCTAGAAGATGCTAGCAAAGGTGCAAAGGTAGCAGCTCCCAGGCAAAGCTGAAGACAGGCAGTTTGGGCTCATTTGCTTTTGTCTTTTAATTGGGATCATACATATATACTGCTTTTTCGGCAGAAAAAAAAAATCTGCTTTCTAGGAGATGTTCGGTGTCTCATAGTGCTCCTGACTCCAGCAAACATATTTGTGTTGTTTCTGTTTATTTAGATGCTTTGCAGAATTGCCTTTCCTATTTACAGATTTCACTGCCTACCTCACACTATGTAAGTCTAGAGTGGGGCTGTCCAATAGAAGTATAACGTTATCCAGATATCTAATTTTAAATTCTTTAGGGGATACATTTTTTTTAAAGATAAAAATGCGTGAAAAGAATTTTAATAATACATATTACATTGTTAATATTTTACCTAATACATCAAAAATAGTGTCATTTCAGCATGTTATCAATATGAAATACTTTAAATTCCTTTTTGGTACCAAGCCTTCAAAATCTGATGTGTATTTTATGTATACAGCACAGTCTCGATTTGAACAAGCCAAATTTTGAGTAGTCATCGTCACATATGGCTGTTGACTGCCACATTGAATAGCACAGGCCTACAGAGTCTTATGCAAACTCTTTTAGAGTCATTTATGGAGTGGAAAATCTCTGTGACACTGCGCTGGTGATCTCAGACACCAACTCAAGAGTACAGAACCTTGTTGTATAGCCTAGGATTTTTTTTAAATCTAAAGTAAGGATATTATCACACTTTATCTAATCCCATCCCCTGCTCCTGCCCCTGCCCCCTGCCACCTCCCCACAGAAGGCCTGTACTGATGTGATTTAGCAACAGTGATGCCTACAAGATGACAAAGACGGCCTTTCTGTGGGAGACAATTGTGTCAGCACTTATTTGGGGATCATAGCTCTAACTGAATTAAAATTTTGTTTCCCATCCTCTTCTAGAATTTTAAAATATTCTATAAAGGTGATAGATTTAGTTGAAGGCAGTTCTGAGGCTTTTCTAGGAGGGCATTTTAAATGGATTTTTGTTTTGTTTTTGAGGGGGATGGAGCCAAATACCTCATGGACTGGAAAGTTGTTTCAAGAGTAGAAAAAAGTGGGGCCGGATGTGGCAGCTCATGCTTGTAATCCCAGCACTTTGAGAGGCTGAGGCAGGTTGAGGTCAAGAGTTCAAGACCAGCCTGGCCAACATGGCAAAACCCTGTCTCTACTAAAAGTAGAAAAATTAGCCAGGCTTAGTGGCGTGCACCAGTAATCCCGGCTACTTGGGAAGCTGAGGCAGGAGAACCACTTGAACCTGGGAGGCGGAGGTTGCAGTGAGCTGAGATTGCACCACTGCACTCCAGCCTGGGCAACAGAGAGAGACTCTGTCTCAAAAAAAAAAAAAAAAGTGGGATGACTACCCAAAAAAGTATAGATAAGTGGAGTAGGAATACAGAGGGATGTCAGGGGCACTAAGAATAACACAGGTCCTCAACTGGGGAGTATAAGCTGTAACAATGCAAAAATACAACATCCAAACCTCTAAGTGATCCCTCATATTTCACAACAGGAAAATAAAAATAAAACATTAGGGCAAGAGAGGACTTCTGAGCTAATCTAGCCTAACCCACTTGTTTCAAACAAAAAGGCCCAGAGAGGTACAGTGATTCAGTACCACCTCACTTAGAGTGGAGTCAGGATCCAGACCCAGGTGCTCTCACTATGAATTGTAGGTAAGGCTCTGGTTCAGGTAAAGGGAATAAATGACTCAGGGAGCAAGAGGCTCGAGCTATCCCCATTGGACTTCCTATGGCCCAAAGTAACCACTGGGAAATGTTAGGCACATTCTCTTGTAGGTAGGAGAAAGCAGCCTAGTCAATTCCAAAATACTGAAGCAACGTTGATGTAAAGGGTCACTAACACATGATTCTTCCAAAGTCTTTTCTGCATACTTTTTTTTTCCTTTACAAGAAAATCCCAATCTGAACCAAACTGGATTTCTGATTGGTTATATGGGAATTTAGATCAACTGGCAAAATAAAAACTTTGATACATTACCTTTTCCAAAGACACATTCATTGGAATTCTACACAAATGAACATCAAAAGATATTTACAGGAAGAAAGTGCTGTCTTTCACACAGACACCCATATACAGTGAGAATTTCACAATTAGACCACCATGCCTCACATAGAGGACTCCTAACAGACTGATAATGAGTTGACACAATCCACACGTTATTCCACTTTTCACTCACAAGTAATTGTGTCTACACAAATGTAAAATTAAGCAGTACATTCCAGACTTTTATAGGGGAACCTGCCTTGTATATATTGAGATACACATATAAATACGTTTTTAAGCAAGTAAGAAACCCATTATTTACTCCAGTTTTTCCCAGCTGTCAATCTGAAGTAAAGAATAGCACATATACAAAACTTTGCCTTGTAGAAATAGCCCTTTGTGTTGTGAGGCAGAAGAAAAGGCAGCCATAGCAGAATTTCTTACAATATGTCTAGGCATCAAAAGGGCTAGTTAATGAAATCAAACGATTTATAGCCTATAGTCTTAAATATTGATTTTACACCACTGATTTTTCAAAGTTTTATTACAAAATTTTTATTTTATTCAAAATACACATGCTGTCTTTATCCACATTTCAATCCAAACCCCTCGGTCATCCCCAATTCCAAAAAACAGGTCTTTGCTTTATAACATCGCTGAAAACAAGCCATTTTTGATGCGGGTTTGGAATTATTATTCTATGACACTCCCTCTGCCCTAAGGGGACTGGATTTTGTAAGGCTGCTTAGTGTGGGGATATCCACGGGAGTCAGTGACTCTCATAACAGAGTGGGACTGCTTTAGGAAATCCAAGTCAACATTAGGAGGTGACACCAGTGGGCACACTTTAGTAGAAAAGTACTGCACCGTGAGCTCCCTCCTTCTGCCAATCTCATTTGTTCCCAAATTGAGGAAAACATCAGAGGAGAAAAGGCAGTCTACTATGACCCACCACGGCACACCACATTCTACTCACTGAAGGTTCACTGTAACCAATCTCACTGTATCTCAAAGCATGATTGGAAAGAAGGGCAGGTGTCATCATACCATTGTTCAGATGAGGACAGTGAGGCACAAGAAGGATGAAGGACTTGCCCAAGGTCCACAGCCAACTAGGAGAAGCACCCAGGTCTCCAGACCATGGACCTCAGACACCATGTCCCTCGCTCACATGGCACCAAAGGATCACCTATGAGACAGGGCCCCCCAACATACCCAGAATCCTGATTGCTCACAACTCACTACATCCTAATCCAATGTCTGTGCTTTATTTCACCTGGTTGTTCTGTTTATTTTCCTACAGTTTCTAAAAAGACCCTTTCAACCAAACAAATACATGTTAAACAGGCAGCAATAAATCCTTTTCCATTTGACCGAATAATCTGAAATAGCAACTCCAGAGACTCTAGAATTTGGTACAGACCAGTAGGAAAATTATAGAAATTACAGAATGCTATCATTCCACTTTTCATCACATTGGAAACTCTAATCTAATCCCAGGTTGCAACTAAAATGCCGAAATAACCAAAATGAAAAGGATAGTCTATATAAAATTTCTTTGCATCTAAAATCCTTAGAGTGTCCAAGATCACACTGTCGGTCACATCAGATAAGCAGTAAAGACAAGTCAGAAGGTGATAAACCAAAAAAGGGCAGAGATGAGACTATGGCCCCAGAAAAACAAGGAAATGGAGGCAGATAAAGAGCTCAGAGACAGGAAAATCACAGACAAATTTGGGGCACGTGACATGACTCCAAAGAGTTATCATGTGAGATGGTAAAAAGAGATTAGCTATTTTAACTAAAAATAAACACCATACCTTTTGGGGAAAGGGGCTGCTGAGAAACAGAGAATTTACCTACCTTTGACAAAGTACAATATTATGCTGCTGTGGGCATCTAGCATTACACCAGCAAATGTCCCAAACCCAAGTGAATTCTTGACAGCACTTAAAGGCATAACTCAGCCCTTTTTTTTACTCCTTAAAATCTAAGTGGGGAACTAATCTTCTCGAAGGTTCCTGAGTCATAGTTTTGTGAAAATATTTACTTGCTTTTTTCAGATATGCTTAATACCAACTGTTCAGCCTTTAAAAACCAACTTGTCACAGATTTTCTAGTAGACTCCCTCTTCTAGTAAGTCTCACACTCTCAGTCACTCTCACACACATTCACACAATCATATTATGAATTTTGATACGACTTAAATTAAAAATATCTTTCATTGCAGAGGCTCTATTATGGACAGAGCATAATATCTACATGGATACATCAGAAACTATTGTATGTCATGAAAAAAATATGTCACAAATAAAGCCCCTCCAATTGCTGATTTTCTATATGAAACACAAGTGGGCTTTTCATTTGCTGTGGGTAAGGCCACACCACTGGCCACATTATTTGGTTTCTCCGGAGGCCACTACCACTGACCCCCAAAGCAAAATAGAGGGCTGGGGGCACATCTCCATTTCTGATGTGCTGATGGCAGATCCTCCACCAGCAATATGAATACTTTTTTGTTTTTAAATATCATCCTCTTTTTGAACATTTATAAAAACTATCTACAATATAACAGTGTATCATCACTAATAGAAATTTCTTCCCAGTTCTATTTCAGAAGGTGTCAACTGATGGTGCTCTTTAAATAAACTATAAATACCACAAGTATTCCTTCATGTCTGGTTGTTTCAACTTCTTCTTCTTCTTCTTTTTTTTTTTTTTTTTTTTTTTTGGCAAATTAAAAAGGCGTATGGCTTCTTCTTGCCAACTTTTATGTTTGAGGTTTAACTTGGTATCCTGTGGTAAAAGTACATGTAGCCCAGGTCTTTAGGGGGCCTTTCTGAGGCACAAACTTTGTGGTCATTGTAAATCACCCATCTGAAACAAGACAGAAGCATTTGATGGATTTCAGTCAGTTCCAGGAAACTTTACAGAGAGGTTGCTAAACCATATGGCACACAATACTTAACCATGATGTTTGAAGATACTATACTCAAGTTCGTTGTATAAAAAGGAACAGAATGCTGGTAGGGAATCACAACTGCTTTTTTTTTTTTAAGAGACCTCATTTTGTTCCCAGGCTGTATGGTAGCACAATCTGAAGCTTCAAACTCCTGGGCTCAAGGGATCCTCTTGCATCAGCCTCCGGAGTAGCTAGGAACACAGGCACATGCCATTATACCCAGCTACAACTACTTTTTGATTCTTAAGCTCAATCAAAAAGTAGTTACTAAAATGTATCTGGAGCCTCCAAACATTTTAACCTTTGATCCCATAACTCCCTTTATAGAAATCCATACATAGCCTGAGAAATTGAGTCAAAGAATTATGTACAACAATGCTTATTTCAGTCTTAGGTATAAAACTAGCTTAAAACCAGAATTTTTAAAAAATCCACGCAGTGAACTATTATAGAACTATTAAAATTTATTCAAAGAATATTTGCCAAAGTGAGAAAATAATCATGATATAATATGAAATGGGAAAACACAGGTAAAAAAATTGTATGTACTCTGCACATATTTTAAGCTTTTAGTTAAGTTGTAAATACTTGTGCATATTTATATGTAATATGTGTGCATATAGACATATATACACTTTCTTCCAATGAGCCAATACAACAAAGAAAAATATATCAAAATGTAGACAATGGTTATTGTTAGGCTTCCAGAGTACATATTCTTTGTATATTTTTATATTTATAAATTATTTACAATGAATTTTATTGCTTTAAAAGTTATAATTAAGCTATTTTTCTTTTAAAAAGAATTTTTACTTTATTTTCTTTGACTTCATTCCATAAACTGTTTTTAAAAGAGCTATTGTGTTTGTAATAAAAAGAATTCACGACAAATATTAAATCCCAACCGGGTGCGGTGGCTCACAACTGTAATCTCAGCACTTTGGGAGACCAAGGCGGGTGAATCACCTGAGGTCAGGAGTTCGGGACCAGCCTGACCAACATGGCGAAACCCCATCTCTACTAAAAATACAAAACTAGCTGGACATGATGGCGCACGCCTGTAATCCCAGCTACTTGGGAGGCTGAGGCAGGAGAATCGCTTGAATTTGGGAGGTGCAGGTTGTAATGAGCTGAGATTGTGCCATTGCACTCTAGCCTGGGCAACAAGAGTGAAACTCCATCTCAAAAAAAAAGATAAATTGCCGTGCTCAACTATTTTATCAATCAAGTCAAGGAGACAAAACTAAAAGACACACCACAAAAGAACACAATGGAGTCCAGGTGGGAAATGGCCAGTCCTGCAGTGGGAGCCATGGAGCAAGAGGCCACACTCAGGCATTTCTCCAGCGTCCACATGGCCTGAGCACTGCCCTCAAGCAGAAGTGCCAACCCACAGGCCACTCAGTACGGAGCTGCAGGAAGGGCACCAGTGGGGCCTGTAGGGATCCAGCCCAGGGAGAAGGTTCTGAGGAAAGCAGCAGTCTTTCGTTCCACAACTGTCTCATTCCCGGTTCACCATACACTTAACAATTCTACTTAAGAAGGCTGAGAAGCCAACTGCAAGGTTGTAGTAAGGCAATGCACTGAAGGTTTAGAGCTGCCAGATAAGACACAGGTTACCCAGTTACATCTGAGTATCAGGTAAGCAATAATTAATTTCAGTATAAGCATGCCCCATATAATATTTGGGACATAGAATACCTGAAATTTATTTATACTAAAAAATTATTCATTATTTATCTGAAATTCAAATTTAATAGGGCATCCTGGTTTTTCTTATCTTGTTTCATTTTGTTGGCTAAATATGGCAATCCTAGGGAGGTTCCAATTACAGCATACATTCTGCTGCAGGATGCATCTTTATTTTGGGAAGTCACCTTGGTATGATAGTTGAAAGTGGCTTTGAATACCAGCTCTGACATAGCTACTTACTAGCTAAGGTCAAGCTATTCAGCCTCCCTGAGTCTCAGTGTCTTGATGTGTAAAAGGGCATTAACAATGTACCCTTTACAAGACCAATGTGAGAACCAAATGAGATAACATACAATGTACCTAGGAGAGTGCCTGGCATCTAGTAGGTACTCAATAAATCATAGCTATCATTTACCTTCTAAAAATGACTCACCTTCCTTCCTTTTTGATATGGCAAATATAATGACCACTCATTGTGGATGTTCCCATGTGACTGATGAATGCAAATAGCTCATATGCTGTGAAAGAGGAAACAACTCAGTTACAAGGCAGCATTTTCAGAATGAAGAGCACTTCTGGTTAGAATTTAAAACTAACAATAGTATAATCCAGCAACTGTTTAGATTTGAAAGACAAGGTCTATTTATCTTGCTATGTTGACAACTCACACATACTCAGAGTGACACTAAATTCAACCTGCAAATTTGTGATCACAAAAATAGGACATAAATTATCAAAGCACAGCTGATGTTAAATTCAAATGTGGAAAGCGATTTTTAAAAATCCCACAACCCGGTCTGGTGGCAAGCTTATGGGTGGATCTAAAAGGGTAGTCCTGGCTCTATCGCTTCCAAATAGCATGAGGGCGGACAAGTTGTTTCCTCTTTCTGAGCCTGTTTCTTTATGGGGATTAAAAAAAAGTCCACCCACTTTGCAGGGTTGTATAAAACTTAAATGAGCAAGTCAGACTAAAATACCACACAAATGTCAAAATTATGAGGAAGAGAGCAGATAGCTGTTATCATTTATAGAAGAGGATAATGCTTTGTGCAGGATTTTTCACTTGCTCATGATTATAACTTATGTGGGACCAAACTTCAGGCTTCATGCTTTCTGAACAAGGAGATATATGGCCTCTGAGACAGTGAGACCAATGTTTATTCTCTAACAAGTACCTCCTGCAAAATCAGGCCCAGTACTCTATGATATCCATGTTGAATCCGTTTTAGCTCATGTTGCCAAAGTGGCTTCCATGGACAAGTACCAGTCCACTCAGCAAACTGTTACAGACTACAATGAGATAGTATGGAAACTGAGAGTGCACATTTACAAGACTTTAGAGTAATTGAGAGTAAAATGCATGTCCACTGAATTTAATAAGGAAAAAAATGGGCTTGCATATTGATTTTGCTAGTGCTCCACTTTTACTACATTTTCCAAAAAAAGTATTGGTTCTGGACAGAGCTTTTCTCCTACTCCTCTGTCTCTCATTCTTTCTCTCTTGCTTTTCACTCAGGCTCATTCAACTTACTCAGTTGTCAATCCCCAGTCCTCATCTTACTCACTCTTCAGCAGCATCACATACTGTTGATCACCTCCTCTGTTCTCAAATACTTGCCTCCAGGACATGACTCTCTTGGTTGTCCAGCTGCCTTACCGCCTTACTGCTTCCCTTCATCTCCCTGACCTTTGAATTTTGGTGATCTGGGGTTCAAACCTTCTTCTTTCCCCCTCTACCCAGACTCTCCTTCTCTCTCTCTCTCTCTCACTCTCTGTGGCTGATGTCATGTAGTCTTATGGCAGTAAATGATATTGTTTTCTTAATTTCATTTCTGGAATGTTCATTGTTAGTGTATAGAAATAGAATTGAATTTTGTATACTGATCTTGTTTCCTGCAACCTTGGTGAACTCATTTGTTAGTTCTAATTGTTTTGTAGTCGATTCCTGTGGACTTTCTATATATAAGATCATGTCATCTGCAAATAGAGACAGTTTTACTTTTTTCTTGATAATCCAGATAACTTTTACTTCTTTTTCTTGCCTAATTGCAATGGCTAGAACCTCCTGTACAATGTTAAACAGAAGTGTCAAGAGGGGCATCTTTATCTTCTTCCTAATCTTAGGAGGAAAGCATTCAGTCTTTCACGTTAAGTATAAGGTGAACTGTGGGGTTTTTGTAGATACGTTTTATCAGGTTGAGAAAGATCACTTCCATTCCTAGTTTGCTGATCATTCTCCCCTCAGCCTTATCTATCTCAGTCAATGGCAATTCCATTCTTCCAGTAACTCAGGACAAAATCTTGCCTTCTCTCTCACACTCTTTATCAGCAAGACGAAGTCCAATCCATCAGCAAATCCTGTATCCAGAATCCAAATGCTTCATACAATCTCCACTTGTAACTCCCCATCCAAGTCACCATCATATCTTATCTGAATTATTACAATGGCCTCTTAATTGGACTCCCTGCTTCCTCCCTTTCCCCCACCAACTATTCTCACCATAGTTGCCAGAGTGGTTTTCTTTCTTTCTCTTTCTTTCTTTCTTTCTTTTTCTTTATTTCTTTCCTTTCTTTCTTTCTTTTTCTTTCTTTCTCTTTTCTTTTCTTTCTTTCTCTCTCTCTCTCTTTCTCTCTCTCTTTCTTTCTTTCTTCCTTTCTTGTTTCTTTTTTTTTTTCAGACCCTTATGTCAAGGGCTGACTTTCAATAGATTGCAGAGAGGGAGCTGCTCTGCTACATAGAAAACCCCAACCCAGAAGCAGGTCGTCTACCAATGGTTTAGCACCAGGTTCCCCATGAACGTGCGAGGGGGTGGCTGCCTTTCTGGCTGCACTCTGTTGTTCTCTTTTTCTGTTGTTGTTGTTGTTTGACATGGAGTCTCACTCTGTCACCCGGTCTGGAGTGCAGTGGCGCGATCTCGGCTCACTGCAACCTCCGCCTCCTGGCTTCAAGCGATTCTCCTACTTCAGCCTCCCAAGTGGGATTACAGGCATGTGCCACTGTGTCCGGCTCATTTTTTTGTATTTTCAGTAGAAACAGGGTTTCACCATGTTAGTCAGGATGGTCTCGGTCTCCTGACCTCATGATCTGCCCATCTCGGTCTCCCAAAGTGCTGGAATTGCAGGCATGAGCCACCACGCCAGGCCCATTAGTCTTTTTTTTTTAATGGAAGTCAAATTGTGGTCATTACTCTGCCCCTAACACCCTCCAGTGGCTCCCTGTATCTCTGAGTAAAATCTCACTCTTGCAGAGGCCTATGAAATCCCCTTACCTCCTCCCCTCATCCCCCTTATTCTGCTCCAGCTACCTTGGCCTCCTAGCTGCTCCTCAAACATGCTTGGCAAGACCTGTCCTTCAAGCTTTAAACCTTCAAGCCTTTATACCTACTGTACCTACTGCTCTTTCTTTCTGAAACTCTCTTTTTTCAGATGTCATGTGACTCACTCGTCACTTCATTGAGATCTCAGGTCCAAATGTAACCTCATCAGAGAGGCCTTCCTGAACCTTCCTTATAAACAGTAACTCTCCTTCCACCCCTGCCCTCACTCCTGTTGCTCCCGTTTCCTTTATCCTGCTTTCCTGTCCATACCGCAGAAAGTAACACCTACTATGTTGCATTCTTTTTTTTTTTTTTTTTTTTTTGAGACGGAGTTTCGCCCTTGTTACCCAGGCTGGAATGCAATGGCATGATCTTGGCTCACTGCAACCTCTGCCTCCCGGAATCAAACGATTCTCCTGTCTCAACCTCCCAAATAGCTAGGACTACAGGCACGTACCACTATGCCTGGCTAATTTTTTTGTATTTTTAGTAGAGATGGGGTTTCGCCACGTTGGCCAGGCTGGTCTCAAATGCCTGACCTCAGGTAATCCACCCACTTTGGCCTCCCAAAATGCTGGGATTACAGGTGTGAGCCACCATGCCCAGCTGCTATGTCACATTCTCACTTGTGCATGTATTTATTGTCTATCACCTTTTACCCCAGGCTAGAATAGCCTCCATAAGGACAGGGAGTTTGTTTTGTTTACTGAAATATTCCAGGCACAGAGAACAGTGCTTTGCACATTGTAGGTACTCAATAAGTATCTGTTAAATGTATAAATAAATGAGTGAATGAAGGAATGACTCCTTTCACTTCATTTCCTCACTTGTTTTTATATCTTCTTATAGAGTATATATTTTTGTAAACCTCTTACCAAAGCATAAATTGGGGTATAAACTGGTGAAATAATTATTTAATCAGAAATGAATCAGAGAAGATTGCCTTTCCCATAATTAACTGAATTTCTGTTGCTAGCTATCACATCAACTGAAAAAAAAAAGAAAAGAAAAGAATCCCAGGTCTGAAATCAGAAGCCAGGCAAAAACAGTTGAAAATGATAATCATTTTGCCTGGTATTTATTTTTTGAAACAGTGACCCAGGCACCTTACCCTTGTCTGTCCTCCAGTTCTGTCTCCCACACTAAGAACCCACCTTTACCTCCCTGTGTAAGCAAGAAAGGGAGTGAACTGAGATCCTTGTGTTTCTTGGCCCCTGTTGGCTTTTTAAGCCCTTTTGGAATAATTCTATATCATATTCCTAATCTTCAATTTAAGAGATAGAGTGCTGCTCTCCCAAAAATGTGGCTGCTCTCTAAGAATTTTCATGAAATGAAGAGAGGATACAGGCCAGGCATGGTGGCAAACGCCTGTAATCTCAGCACTTTGGGAGGCCAAGATGGGTAGATTGCTTGTGCTCAGGAGTTTGAGACCAGCCTAGGCAACAGGGCAAAACCCCATCTCTACAAATACAAAAAAAATTAGCCAGGCATGGTGGTGTGCACCTGTAGTCGCAGCTACTCTGGAGACAGAGGTGGGAGAATTGCTTGAGCCCAGGGAGTCGAGGCTGCAGTGAGCTCAGATCACACCACTGTACTCCAGCCTGGGCGACAGAGTGAGACCCTGTTTCAAAAAAAAAAAAGAGACAGAGGATACAGTACCCCAATCAAGGCTTTTCCCCACAAGGATGTCCTGCAAAACAATGGCTTCAACAATTCAACAGAGTGTTTCCTGAGCACTTCTCACCATAAGACAGGGTCACATCAATGAAACACAGCACAGATACCAACACAGCCAATGGGTTGACCAGACAGACACAAAGGACAAATCCATACACCCCAATATATCCAAACATGTCACTAAGCCCCCCCAAAAGCATTTTCCTCTCTTTGTTTAAAAACAACTCATGTACATACTCAGAACCACAAAAATAAAATTTAAAAGGTTAGCATAAATCTTAGTCCTATTATTTAAATTAACCATGTTTATCAATATAAGCAACTGCTCCATGCATTATTCATGACCTCCTGCTGGAAACAACAACAAAAGAGAATCTCTCTCAACACATTTGCAAAAATTAAACAGGTAATAAATCTCAATTTATATTTGTCTCCAAAGAGAAAATCAAGGTGAATTCACCAGAGAGAGAAACTACTGTTGATTCTTCTCTAAGTTCCCAGAGATGTCCTCCCAAAAAAAACAC